ATAGGCGCCCGCTACTGCGGGAAAACACTGCGTGTGGCATACCTCATTACATTTAATGCTGCTCATATTTTTCACGTGTTTTCACGCTGCGTTTGTGTGTGAAAAAACTACGGCGTACGCGCTACGTTACACGGCGCTCTCAGTGGTGTGCGCCAGAACCTATGGTAACCATGGTAAACACATCGACAGTCTTTGTCTATGATATAAGTGTACATTTTCTTTTGGATACTAACAACTATGACAGAAATCGACAATAGAGAAGAAATTATAACTTGTAAAATTGCACAGAAGGTTTCATTAAGTTTGTTGTTAAGTTTGTTGTTTTATTTTGTAAGGCATTGTTTTAAACCTTGGTCTTGCTTGATACAGTAGAACCTCGATAGCACAAGTCTATAATGGGGACGATCAAATAAGACATGCTATTTATACTCTAAGATATTATCACTGCAACTTCAATCTTTACATAAAAAATATAAAAAAAAAAAAAAAAAAAACACACTAGCCCCAACATTCTTCCTTGCGCACCGCCTCACTTCACCCTGATCCCGCCTGACATGTTCGGACCTGTGTAGTATCCAATGTCACGTGACACCCTGGTCGCTCATCGTCGATACATCGATACATCGATACATCGTAACATCGATAATGCGAGCGACATGTGAGCGCGACACGCCGTCGTTGGCGTTATTACAACTGACAACGCGGGAGTTTATAACGGTACGGAGGCTGATATGGGAAATACGTCGCTGGGGAATTATGGTAAAGACGTCGTGCCCAGCGTATAAGGGGGTTTGACAGGTGCAGAGATGTGGGGTGTGGGTGTGCTGCGGTCGAACGTGGCGAACAGATTTGAGAGCAAAAAAACGAAAAGATGACATTATTGGTGTTGTTTCACCACATGTTTTTATCTGTTTGCCGTTTTAGAGGTGACAAATAAACATATGAGGCTGTTACATTACTTTTCACACAAGGCGTTTTAGCAAATATTAATATGCTTAAGTTACGTGGTTGTTGCCGCTAAATGATTTATATTTTTCCAGCTTTACTTTTTATGACCAATGTTTATTGCTGATATTCTTGATTTGAGCGTAATGTATTTTCTGATTGAGAAGATAATTTAGTTACCTTTAGTAAACGCAAAGATCGGGAAAAACTTCTACAATATATTGTGTGTACTTTTGCTTTTCAAACACATAAAACCCTGAAATATATTCTTGTTTTTAAATTGTCATAGCACTCGCAATATAACAAATTTTCAGACAGTTTCCTTTTATGCAAAACTCAAGGCCTGTGTTTCTGAAAAATTTTCCCCGGTTATGTTTTTTTAATATAATTGGTAAAAAGAGATAAACCAACGGGAGTATTGTAAATAGTTTTTAATATTATATTATGGAATCTCTAAACGATTTCCTAAGGTAATCAACCATTTCAAAAATTGGTTTCGTAACATTATTATTTTTTTTTATACAATAATGCAAATCGATATCATCATAAAATATTCCAGGACTTCTAATATGCCAAGCTACTTCTAAAATTTTCAAAAGGATGTAAACCAACAAATTTTATTTAACACAAAAGTTTTACATAAAATATTTATCACATGCCTTGTGCTTTATTATGTACAATGTAGAAGAAAAATAAGTACTTAAAAGGGTGTCTAAAGGGTAGGTTTTTGTTATGAAACATCAGAGATTCCTCAGAGAATTGTTAATGTACCCAAGCTCCGGTTAGATGAGGAGCCTGAATAACCATAATAACATTATACCCAGCAGGGAATGGTTGTCACCCCCACCCTTCTTGTAATATATATATACTATACCTAAGCTTATATCTTCCACCCTTCTTGTAATATATATACTATACCTAAGCTTATATCTTCCACCCTTCTTGTAATATATACACTATACCTAAGCTTATATCTTCCACCCTTCTTGTAATATATAAACTATACCTAAGATTATCTCTTCTACCCTTCCCCAGGCGTTGTAGTGCATTCCGCGTGGTATACGCTTTAATTGCGTTACTCCAGTGATTTAGGTAATACATTATTGTAGAACATTCAATACACTTAAAATATTAAGTGATATTTGGTCAATATAACTTTGAAAATAACATTTATGTGACTCGTGTGTTCCTCGTATGTATTTAATTTTCATCCCTAGCAAAGTTGAAATTATAAACAACAACTGTCTCTTTAACTGACTTATACTGCGACTTAGTGGATTATTAAGGATTTATTTTCAATTTTCCATCTTTTACGCCTACAATTGTGTGCACCTTTGGATGATGTATTGTAGTATTTTAAACGTATTGGGAATGAATTATAAAACAGATTATCTTACTAATTGTCACAATAAACAAACAAAATTACAATTAATAACGTAATAGTTAGCAAGATTATTTTTGTAAAACTTTTCACACTTTGACATTTTAATTGCACCTCATGCACACAATGATTAGAATAATATATTTTCAAATATATTTATCAAAATAGATAAATAATTTATTTAAATATAAAACTCAAAAGTATAAAATCCGAATGAATAAATAATGATTAGTCTACACGCTAAAACTATTTTAGATAACTTTTCAGATTAATTAAACTGAAAATTACAGAAGCTTTCGTGAATGCAATCAAACATTTCCGTACCGTGACTGGGGGATGAAAATGATATTCTTAATTAAAACCTAAAGTTTACGTTGTAAATATTTAATGAAGGGAAACGTAAAGGGGAGCAAAGCGAAGCCCTAATTGAAGCATTTTCCTTCAACGATTGCGTTAGCTTCGGCGTTTTTATGAATTAATGTTTAATCCACAATAAAATCAATATAATCAAACAGTTTCAATACTGTAAATACTGTGAAAATGTAAAAATAGGAATGATATCACAAAAAAAAAATATTTCAAGACTAATTTAGCGCTTTTAAAAGGATATTATGCTCGTGTATAGTTAACACTATTTTTACGAGATACTTGCGTAAACTTCTATTACTTGTTTAGTGTATTTTGTGCAATCTGTATCCAAAATGGTATAAAATTAACCGATTCCGTCTGAGATCCTAAATCTTGTCAAATCACAGACGGAATCGGACAATTTTATATTATTTTAATGTTCAAGAAGTGACCCTAGGCCAAAGAATATCATTATGAAATCTATATCCGCAATAATTTCTTAAGCAACCGTAACTCATATCAAACGTTTAATATCTAAACTATCACTTAAAGTTATTAAAAAACGTAAGTTATTTCAAGTAGCCTACTTTACATAGGCAATCATACGTTTTGACTTTTTGAATAATTTAAATTATTTATCAACATCTCGCCTTCATTTTGTAGGTTATATTATTGACTCACCCCCACCGCGCGTTTTCAGCTCGACTCTATTCAGTTGCTAAGCAACACATTTCAGAGAAGCTAATTCACCGATTTTATTGGTGTTCAGGTTCTCACCAACATGCTTTGGGTACATAATGAGGACTTTGGGAAGTTGCAATTTAGAAATGTAAATTAGAAAGGTTGGCATCAAACTGAGGCCCAACTTCTTGATAAAAGATATGTTTTATCAAATATGTTGCGTCAGGTAATGTTACTTAACTAAGATTTATGAATTACATGTTACCACATTTATTAAAAGAAAAAAAATTATGATTTAAATAATTGGATAAATAGCATAAATGTAGACTCGCTTATCGAATTCTCAAACGTGGTACAAAAAATGGCACAAGATTGGCTGAATCTACTTAGTTTACAGAATGCAATTAGTGGATTCCTTTAAGCCATGTACAGTACACAAATTTTAAAACTTTTTGTGGGAAATCTGTTGTTTGTGCTACCATCAGCATTCCTCAATCATAACTGGAAGTTCTAAAAAAATACTGCATTCTTAGGATACGCTTCTTAATTATTTTTATACATACGGTTAGAAGAGTATCATGGACTAGGGTCTGGATTGTAAAATTAACAAATAATGTAGTTTATTACAAAAGTTACTCTCAGGATGATTCTTTGTACTGTAAACTAAATTAGTCTCTTGTTCTCATTTGTATTTTAAATTTACAGCAAAGTCCACCATTGGGAATTTGAAATAATAAGGTACTCTATTACAGCACAAAACAGCTGTAGTTGACTTATACCACAATGGATAGTGTCGACAGTGACACAGATTACTTAATTATATTTGTTGAAGATAGGATCAAGTACTGTAGATTTGTCGTCTGAAGATTTCTTTGTTAACCATTGTAACCCTTGTTTTGTAGACTATACGTAAAAGGTTAAAAATACAGTAAATCTTCCAAAATTAGAAAATATATGTAAATAATTATAACTAATCCGCACAATCTTCTCTTCGCTGCATCACAACCAGCCTGACCTTGAGTAGTGTCAATGTGCTAGTATATTAACTCTGAATCAGATCTGACAAGTCGTTCACCTTGTGACCAGTTCAGGCCTCAAGTCTTAAGACGTTCTCCTAACTTGACCTTCAATAGGACCAAGTTGTTAGAGGAGTCAATGATCAGCCTTGGTAGTTTGGTTAGGTTTGTGTCTTTGTGCATAAGTTTTCTGTTCCATTTTAGTGGATCTCCCATATTGGTAATAAGCTCCGTAGGTGTCATGATAAGACCTAGACTCCGAACGATTTAATTTTTTTTTTTTAGATCACCAGAAGCCAAAAAGTAATCAGTTTAAATTCATATTTGTCTCCTATTAGCATAACCCGAATAAAAGCTATTAGTTATAGATTAAATCAATTGAAGATTTACAAGAATAGTCCAAATTTGTGAAATTCATTTCCATCGTAGTAATTTGTGGGAGATGAAGACCATCCCTATTCCTAAAGCGAACGCTGCAAACATAGAACTAGTTCCAAGCAGCTAACTGGACATATTTGATAACCCATCAAATCCATCAGTTGCCATAAGCAGATAACAGCCCATTAAGGTCACAAGGGTAAAAGATAAAATGGTCCCATCCACTTAGATGACTCGCGATTCGCACTCACCTAATTCTAGGAGCGTCCACTCTTCTGGGAAGATCCCGGCAGGAAATTCCTGCGATTCCGCACTCCAAAACTGCCAACGACCTTGCCTGAGGACAGAGCAAAAATTTAAATTAAATTAACGGTTTGGTAGAGTCGAGATATTTATCTTATCTACCATCACTAAGTCGTCTGTTTGCGGACAAGTGGCTAATAATTAGTGTTGCTGCTGATGTAGGATTAATAAATTGTGTTAGAACCATCGATGTATATAACTCAACGGACAGACAAAATGTTAAACATCTTTATTAAAAAAAAAAATGAAAAATGTGTCTTGTAGACATATTCCAAAATTATTAAGGACTATTGTAACAATATTGCTGTAAACATTTGATAATTTAACTTCAATAATGTTTGATTGTGACAAACATGTGATATTTTTTTAAGTCCTACTAAGTAAGATTAACCAACGAAAAATTACAATCGTGTAGAAAGAAGCACAAACTATTATGTATTATGGGGTTTCAATATTTTGAAAGGTTGTAAAAATCTTACGTTTGGGAGATGTGATTGTTTAACTATGATAAAATTATGATTCATTATGTAAATTATATTTTAGGTTATGAATGCTGAGTAGAATTTGAATACACTTAAAATTTGGTATAATTCTTTGATTTGTTCTTTAAGTACTTTAAATGACAATGAATTAGCAAACACAGTTCCTCTCACTTCACCATAAACACTGACGATTAAAACTTCCTAATGAACCATTCTCGGTGGAATTCCACTAAACTTAAATCTGAGCTGACAATAGTCCGTTGGAACAAAAGAAGGAGTCCTGAGGAATGCAGAATTGCACTTTCAGCGATAAAGTCTGCATAAACTCTCATTACAGACTGTAAGCACTGACAATATCATCGGACACCGGGATTAGCATTAGCTACACTAACGCTATCTTTGATCAAGCGTCAGTACCACTAACAGGCCGGTAAAGCCTCTTGGATATCGTCGGTGTGCTTAGACCAATAGCCGTGGCTGATCGAGATGGCAGTTGCAATGGAAACTACAGTACTTGAGGACGATGGGGTTGCGTAAACGATTTCATACTTGGCCATGATTGAAGTTGGACTCAGCACGATTTCCACTGGTGTAATTTTAAGGATGAATCATAAAAGTGATTGAAAATTTTTAAGGGTCGTGCATTAGTTGCACCATAGAGTTCCTTAATTGCGCCTAAACCTAAAAAGGACCCAAAAAATGTTCTTTAATTGCACCAAGCTAATGCCTGGTAGGGGTGAGTTGCCGGCAGAAGTAATGCTCTTGTTTACGTGTCCTTCTAACCCAACCTTACCTATCCTAACCTGACCTGACCTAACCGAACCTAACCTAACCGAACCTATACTATCCTAACCTACTCAATTATACAGTCAAAGAGGGCCGTCACTTGGCTTGGTTGAGGAAAGTATCAGATAACTCCCTGGAATAGTTGGCGCAATTCAGGAATACCCTACTACCTGACTCAGGTCAGTTGGCGCAATTAAAGCCCGCCCTTCCCAAGTCGGCACTGGACAGGAATCTTTTAGTAAATAGTGAGATTGAATGAAATAAGGGTCACAGAGATGTCCAAGTTGTAGTTTGTCTGAAAGTTCAACACGGAGAAGTAAAGAAATTGGCATTGCGCGTTCGCTCAGTCCTTATAAACTTACCATATTAAATGCTAACTGGATTTATGTAATGGTTTATAAGCTATACATTACAACTGACCTTTGTAAAAACATAGCTACTGGATGGTAGAATACTGAAACTGGTATAGACAATGGGTATTAGGTAATGCGTCGTGGGAATGGACAGGTTTCAATGTTGAAGTAAAGTTGGTTAGTCGAATGGTTAAGGGTTCCTCAGATATTCCAAAGGTATATTTTTGAAACTTGAATTTGATCACCAAAACAGATTTTTTTGAGTTTTTGTACTGTCCTAAATCGAAAGTCTCTTTTGATCAGTAGGCTTGAAAATACAAATTGTTGATCTTCGAAACAAAACACAAACTTGATTTATATCAGACTACTTAGCATTACCGTCATATGCTTCACAGCTTCACAAAATTAATGAAAGAACAGACAGAGTGTTGTTCAAGACTTAATACCGTCCTTGATGATTCAAATCGACCAATAAAACTGACCTTATACGGTCAGAAGTCTTACAACATCGTCCTTATAGCTACGATTATGCGGAATACTAAGCCATCGGCTTGAAATACTAAAGGAGACATTGTATGTGACCTGCTGTATACAGGTTTCGCTCTAAAATTGTACAGGTTATTGAACATATAATATGGTTTGCGAAGTTACCAGTTATCTATTTCGTCCTCAAATGTATTATACGTTGATTGGGAACACAACATATTCTCTAGCTTACAAAGCCCTTCAGATTGTGTAATTGAAAAGTTGGCGTAAAAGTGCATTACTTAACCACATTATACTAAAATGTTCTCTTATATTCCAAAACTAGCAACACATAGAAATTAAAGTTTTACTTCACGATACAATGTTGCTCAAATTCATTACTGAATGTGGTGTAATCACAAGATAACAGGCACTGTGTGGCACTGCAGATACCATTACCAAGTAAATTTTGTTTCACAATTTCCAAGGTAAACTTTCCTTGATTGTGAGGGATTACCATAAGTGTACGTTATGAGATCTGCTGCCAATGCTGCTTCTCTATACAGTGTTGTTGTAGTCATTTAAAGATGAGCAAACCCATGGTATTTCCAAGACAATGATCTATTCTAAAGGAGTTATTCATTGTTCTTTTAAGATTGCTCTGAGAATCTTGGAATAGGGAGGTTGGTATGAATATTGTTAAATCATCAGTAAAATTATAAATGTAGTTATTTTTCTTTGTTGTATTGGATCGCTCATGATTGTGATCATACAGTATAACTAAACTAGTTTTGTTTATAGGCTGGGAATACATTTTATTTATTTTTTTGATTTTGTGCAACTACTATCTGAATAATGCTTACCCGATATGTTAAATTTTTATTTCGTGTGATATGCCCTGCATCATTAAAATAAACAATACATTTCAAAAAGATTTACAGCTAAACGCATGTCAGAAGGGAAACCTAATTGTTTTGTTTCTTTCACAAATCTACTTTTGTGTTTCAACTACATTTGTAGAACCAAAGAAAGTAGTGAGGGCTCAGACAAAACGTAAAATACATATGAGAATCATCAACTGCGAAACGCTTTTCTTTTATGCCAACATATTACAATATAGATGCAATTTGTAAATTGATAGCTTTTATACTTACAGACAATGTCGGCCCATAGACGGTTGGTACACTAAGTAGCCCATTACAGTACTACGATGCATACTACCAAGTCACCATCTTGATATGTGAACCTTTTCCGAACATTGTTCTAGATACAATACCGCTGACTTGTGTGCAGACATCAGACATCGCGCCAGACGCTGCTAGATTTGCGGTTTTAGCAACTATAGTTCAGAAAGAAGCGTGTGGCATTAGAAACAAGTAAATACATTTTCAGACTAAGGCAAATTTCAAATATTTTTTAAGATTTTAAAACAATATTAACTAATTTAGAAACTCTTCAGTAGAGTATCTGTTTGATTCTAAATTAATGAACGTTTTGAACATCTATCTCATAGGTTAACCTGTGAACCGTTTGATTGTGGTTATCACGAAATAGCGCTATTTTTGCATCAGTTGTATTTAACGCAGAATCCTTTCAACGTTTAGATGAGTTAAACGTCGATGCGTTTGATAAATACTAGATTTTTATAATATTTTTACTGTATAAAGCGGTATAAGGTAATAGTGTTTACCTTACTCCGAAGTTTAGGTCACATAAAAACTTAAGTGTACATAGTTCACATTTTACACTTCAATCTGGAAAAAAATGAAATCTTTCCATTTTAGGATGCAAAATCTCCTATATAATAGTATATTTCATCACTAGTGACCTAAAGTGACTCTTTTTGACCCGAGGTCAAGTTTTACGATCGAGGCGAAGCCGAGGCAATCAACAACAATAGGCTGAAACCTTACCTAATAAACTAATCGATAAATAATTTCGATCGATACTATTGCCACAATCGAAATTTACGACTGTTTAAACAGATGGTTTTTACTCAATAGAGACTAATTTTTTTACTCAATAGAGACTAAAAATGCTACTTTATACCCGCAACTCATGCATGAAAACGGCTGTTTTGATGCAGTATGACGAATAAATTAAAGCACGGCAATTATAAGGACAGACGATATCACAATTAACACAATGAAAGTATGTAAGAATACGACTAATAAAAGGACAGTACACATAAACATGACTAATAAAATAAAACTGTACATATTTCAACAAGATAATGTGTGTCGATAGTGTATACATGTCGTTTCTTTACAAAACACGACTTACCCTACTACCTGAAGATTTTTAATCAATGTAAATCTGATAAAACGTCTCCCCATTTTGGATATCACATTCCTCCACTTTGTCCCTAAAATGTCAATCACGATTAAAAGCGTCGTCTTTCAATAAATGTGACATTCCCGGCTGTTGAAATAAAGACGCTCTGGAATGTGAAGATTAGGTTTCCAAGAGATCCGTATTTCTACTTAGTGCATTAAGAATTAGAATACAAATAACAAAAAACCCTTATTTAATGGTGTTTATTGAAAAACATTTTCTAAAAAACAACGTTACAGTTAAATTGCAAAAATAATGATCGATTTATAATTAAACGTTTACAAATCTAACACTCCTTTACGCCTCACGCAAAAGCCTTTTAATATTATTTAATCTTCTACAAATGTGCGCTTTCGTGGGTCAAACTCTCGTGGGATTGTGTTTGGTAAAACATAGCATAACAATAAATTTAAATAGCATAGGACGTATTTAAATTTGAAACCCCTAGATGCGTTAATCACGACTTTAAAACCAAATCAGGTTGATGAACTTGGCTTCAACCAGTAAAGAGTCAGAGATTTGCCTGGTATTCATTTAGCTATTTACAAAAAAAAAGTATGAAATAGTATGACTTAGTTGCACACCCGGATGATGTAAGTGGAAAAGAGAAAATC